TTACTTTATAATTATCTAAAAAGGAAAATAAATATTTGAATTTATGAAAATATTGTAAAAGGTATAAGAAAAAGGAATTAATTCATAAGTACTATATCTTATCTCTAAAGCTTATAAGTAATTGTATTTAATCATTTAACTTAAAAAACTATCTAGGAAAAATTTGGAAAAATAATTAATGTAACTTCTTCTATAACAAGAAGGAAATAAAAGAAACAGATATTTGAACAATTCTTAATAAGTTTCACTTGCTTTTTTAGACATTTTATATGAAAAAACTTCGTTTGCAACCTCAGAATTAGCTGCCATAAATTTAATTTCAGTATTGCAATACTGTTGTAAAAAATTTTAAAACATGCGCAGTTTTATACTTTTCAAATAGTAAGCGCTGTAAATTTAGTAAAATATAGTAATGAAATAAAATTTTTTAGAGAAAATAAAATACATACTTAAGATCAAAACCCATAAGTTAGCAACCACATGTTTTAAAAATTTTAGGTATCTTTTTGATATATAAAAGGTTTGTTTAGCAAATGTTTGGGGAAAAAAAAAGCTTAATCTTTATTGTGTTTTTCATCATAATTGACTGTAAAATTTTAAACATAAGTTTTTACGTATTTTTTTAGTGTTATTTTACTTGAAATCAAGAATGCCTATTTAATGCTTTTAAGTTTCTTTTTTTTAATGTTCTAAAAATATTTAAGTTTAAAAATATTTGTCTAAAAACAATAAAATCTATTATTATGAAAACGTATGACAAAGCAATATATTTTAATATCAAACAAAAAGAGTTTTTTAATAAATTGTTTCATTTTATTTTTGTACAAAAAGAAATTTAAACTTTGTAAAACAATTATTTTGTTTGTTTAGACAGTGATGAAAAGTTTTTAAACTCTAATTCTAATTTAAAAAAAATTCTTCAAAAATTGCTGCTGTAATAATGAGAAATCGTAAGATTATGTTCGTGTTACAGGCAAGTTGAAAAATTTTTCACGAACTAGAAAAATTCGTTTATAATACTTTAATTAAGAAATGCATTCAAATAAAAAGAAATAAACTTAATAAGTGCAACGTATAGTATTACAATTAAAATAAGATACACCTTCATTATTTACTAAAATTGACTGAAAAAAGTTAGTAAAATATTTGAAGTACGCAGAGAATTTTTTAAAAAAAATAGCGAAATTGAAAATGAGCTGTTATTTCTCATGATAAAATAAATTAAAAACAATTAAATAAACACAAAACTTCAGTTAATTAAATATAAAATTTACGTTTACTTATCGAAATGTGCTATAAATTTTAAATTCCAAAATATTTCACTATTATTTTATTAAAAGAAAATTTAAATATTAAAATTTTATTTTAAAAACATTTTTTACGTCTAATGTACTCTAGCGATTATTAAATTCAGATTCATAGTTATTCTTATCTTTTCATTGACTGGGTCAAAATCACGTCCAAATTTATTCTAACTGATATTCGTCCTGATTTTTAAGTCATGTTTTGAAGAATAAATAAACCATATTCCTGTTTGACTTACGGTCTCCCACCCTTTTAGCGTGAAATGAAAATTGCATGGCCATTTCGCTAAACAATTTGCAGTTTATTAAATTAAAAACAAATTAAAAGTAAATAAATAAACACCAAATTCTTCACCTAATTAAATACAAAATCTCATAGAAATGCGCTATAAATTTCAAACTCCAAAATGTTTCATTACTTTATTCAATTGTTAAAAAAAAAAAAAAAAAAAAAAAATTTAAATTTTAATATTTAAACTTTATTTATTTTAAAAACATTTTTACGTCTAATGTATTCGAGCGATTATTAAATTCAGATTCTTAGTCATTCTTATCTTTTCATTGACTGGGTCAAAATCACGTCCAAATTTATTCTAACTGATATTCGCACTGATTTTTAAGTCATGTTTTGAAGAATAAATAAACCATATTCTTGTTTGACTTACGGTCTCCCACCGTAAATGAAAATTGCGTTGACATTCCGTTAAACAATCTGCAGTATATTTAAATATGTGAATTCATTGCATATGCATGGGACTTATGAATTATTCAAACTGCCGCATTTTATTCAAGAATAATTAAGGTCTTTCCACCCGAAAATGTTTAAAATTACAATACAATGACGGTGATAACAACAATAAATTTGGTAATAAAATCTGTTAGGTGTTTAGATAATAGCTTTTACATAAATTTTATTCAATTAGACTTAATATAATTTGCGGATGTTTTCAGCTTCTGTTTACGTTTGTTAGTTACTTTAACTGGCTGCTAAATAATTGCTGTTTTATGTCCTTTTCATTGTAATGGCATTTTTAAATGTTTTTACATCGTATTTTATTTTACACCATTTTAAATTATATTATTGTTTAGAATTATTTAAATTTTAGTTATAAAGTTCAGTTTAACTACAAGATTACTTGGTAATTTAAAATGAATTTTAGAACTTAAAACAACTAGTTTTTGCATTTTAAAATGCTAATTTTTTATATATAATAGCGAAATATTTAAGAACTTCCCAAATAACCTAAAGTATTAAAAAAATAACAGGTTGCTTTAAAGTATATTAAAGAAACTTTTTATTTCGACACATATGTATAACATTTTATTATCTATATGTTTCAAATATTAGAATTTTAGCATTTTTTATTTTTTAAATAGTATTAGAGTTAAATTTTAGTTGTAATATTTTTTTTATCTGTAAGATTACTTGTTACTTAAGTATAATTATTGCCCGGAAAAAAACAATTCCGGTAAATACCGTATTGTATGACAATGACATTTTTAGTAAAGATTCTGGTTAATAAAAACAAAATATACTGTATTTAAAACATTCATTTGGTAATGTTTCCGTTCATTTTGTAACAGTTTACCGAAAAGTCTAGTTTTAAAAATTATAGTTCTTTTTACCAAACATTCAGTAAAAAATGCAAAACTGAAAGGTAAATTTGACCGAATAAATAGTTTTTATGCCATGCTTTAAAGTATCATGATAAAATTATCAAATTCTACCACATTAACCTAATTTTATCACATATTATCATATTTTATAAAAATCATATTTTATTGTAATTATCAAAGCACTTCATAAAAAATTCTCGAGCTTTTTGGTGTTAGAAACATGGTAAGAAACATAGAGCTAGAAATATAGTAAATTTATCCATTTTCTGGTCGTTTTGACCATACTTTTGTTCTCAGTGTAAAACTAAAAACTACCTTTATTTTTACAATTAAATAGGTAAATACTAGTAACATAAAAATGCTTACACTTTTTTTAAGATTATGGTATGAGTTGTTTATAATTCAATACGCGAGGCTCGTTGTTATTTATTAGTCTGAGGAAAATTTCACGAATCAATTTTAGCTTATGAGATAATGCTACAATAATTTGAAAATTTAAACATTTTTAACAGAGTTTATTATGAATTTAACTTTACTTATGAATTTTACTTCTTATGAAGGTAACTTCAATATACAATATAAAAGAAAATATTGGTAGTTTATTTAAAAAGTATTGCTTGTCTTCTTTTAAAAATATTCAAAAATATATATTTACTTCAATTTTAAATAGGTTTAAGCATATTTATAGCGAGATTTGCTATGATTAAAAATAATGACAGGTTGCAAAATTATACGCTAAATACTAAATTTTAACTGAAAACACATAAGAAACACTGCAGACTACTCAATAAATTTAACAAATGATTTTGTGACTGACTAATTTAACGAATTAAATACGTAATGAAATTCAAATTAAGTAGAAAATTATTTAAAAGGCATTTTATTGTTTTTTTAACAATTCACTTCCTCATAATATTTACAAATATAATAACTTAATATTAAATTCTGAATATTTTCATTAATAAATAATTTTCTAGGTGAAAAATAGCTATTTTAACGAAAATTAAAAAAAATAATAACAATACAGAAAACGAATTCCAATTCAAATGATGGAAAAAATACACACTTCAGCTAATAATGACTCCAAATTAAGTAGGTACACTTCTTAATATGTTAAATCCTTAAAAAAATCATGTTTGAATACAAGCACAATGGTTGCCATCAAAATATAACAAATTCAATTTCTCTACAGATTCTTTGGTCTCGTCTCAAATGACTTTAACCGCATTTTAGAATTCTATAGCATTTAGAAATTAACATTTTACAATGTGTGCATGTTTTTCCAAGAAATGTTTTTGCGCTTAGTTGAAAATAGTTCAGTTAAACAGATTTAGTTTCAAATTTTTTTTAATTCTGTTTTGATTAGCACAAACTTTGCCATATAGAGCGAAAATAAATGAAATATCATTCATGCGGAGAAAAAAATTTACATGAATAGATTTCTTAAATACAATCACAAATATTTATTGAAAAACCCTAAACTCCAGGAAATTATTATTTTTCACAAAAGAATTTCTGTATATAGAATAACCCAAGATGCCTAGTTGACAGATTTGTTCACAAAATATTTTCTATGCATAAATTTAAGCTGCGCATTGATAGATTAGATAGTTATTTTCATAGATTATTTTTTTATGAATCAGTTTTTATTGCACGTAACCCTACATTGCACGTTGATAGATTTGATAAATATGAACATAAATTATTAATATAAATAAAAATTTATATTGTACGTAACCCTACATTGTACGTTGATAGATATGTTCATAATAAATTATTCTATGTATATGCTTGCATTTGCATTGCATTGTGCGTAGACAGATATGTTCATAAAATATTTTTCTATTCATACATTTTAAAAGTTAAAGCTCCTCTAAATATTATACTATATAATAATTCAAAACAAATACTGGGTACATTAGTAAGTTAATAGTTTTTTTGTGCAGTTGCAAGGGGATTATTGAAAATTGGTACCGAATGTTGTATGTGTTTTTCAAAATTTTTAATCTTGTTTCTACAATTGTATTGTTATTGCTTTGAAAATGTTAGTGCACTGAATAGAGTGTAAAGAAAACTTACCTGCATATTGTTGTTTGACTAAACACATTTCCATAAAGGGTTCCTAAGGCTAGACCGACATCTGCCTGGGTGAACCCCAACTTTATGCGCCTCTGTTTGAATTGCTTCGCGAACTGCTCCAGGTCATCGGAGCTGGGCGCTTCCTCCTCGGAACCATCCGGATGATGCCTTGGATCTAGCATGTCATTATGAAGATGATGATGAGGATGATGATGTTGGTGTTGTTGATGGTGAGGATCGGGATGGTGATGTTGCATATCCCGCATACTCGGGTGTAGTTGACCACCACCGCCGTGAGACAGCATACCGTTCATGGCGCCATAGTGATGCTGTAAAGGTGGTGACCCATTCGGACTGGGGCTCATATGGCCCCCCATGTGAGCCGTAGCACCCAGAGAACTGGGATGCCAAGGTGTCCCCATATGCTGGGGCGGACGGTGGTGGAGGGTACCCGGGTGAATGTCGCTTGGTTTAATGTCCTGGCCTCCGTGGAGGCTCATGCCACCCCCTGTTGACCAAGGTGAAGGGTCACTGTGAGGCGGCAGTCCAACCCATTGATGGTGAGGGGCAAGAGCGTGTCCGTTCGGACCATGATGTGGATTCGGTGGCATGTACTTCATTTCGGGAGGTTCACGACCGTAACTTGCTTGAGATGTGGCCACTTGCATGCCTTCATGAATTACCGCATTATACGGATTGGAAGGACTAGTGGCCATAATTCCATGGAGCTCAATCGTGGAAAACCTGGCGGCAGCAGACGATAAAAGTCCGTCAGTCCCTCGACTGTCGTCTGCTCCTCGAAATATCTGTTCCTTCAGTGCGACTGTTTTTTGTAACCACTTTTTATCATCAGTATGTTCTCCGGCTGTTCTTGAAGTTGAAATTTGGACTCTGTAATTCTCAGTCTGTAATTCGGTTGAAGTGCATGATCATATCCAAAGGTTTTCTTAACTTTAAATAATGAAATAAATAGTATATTTAGGTCAGCTTTTTTATTTGCTTTTTCAAATGCTGAATTAAATAAATAGTGCAAAAGTTATGAACAGCCTTACAACTTTACCTATTTATAGTACTTATATGTTCATTAAGATTCTATTTCATAATAAATTCAAATAGGAAAAAAGAATTTTCACCATTCGTTGATTCTATTAAAATGGGGGGGTAGCAAAAAATTCCGCTCGAAATTGCGTGATAATTTTTAGCACCAAAACAATCCTTCTTGAAGAGTAGTGCGTGCAAAACCACTGTACGAGCAAACGATCCACGGCTCTTTACTGTTACCGCTCAATCCCGCTTTTGCTGCCGCCCTTTCCTCCGAATAGTCGTCTCGGCAGGCCGGCCAAGAATCGGTGTCTGATTGGTGAGGCGATCCAGCGAGCTTATTGGTTGGATGTTTGTGACTTTTTCTTTTCCTTTTTTATTTCTTTTTCCTATTCGGCTGAGTGGAGGAGAGGTGGGGAGATGACGCGTTGCGTGAAACGTGACGTTGCCTTGGCGACGTCTTACCCACATCACGTGACTTTAAGGGTGGATGCATGGTTGCGTCATAGGGAGGAGCTTAGAACTAAAGGGTGGGATTACGTTGCGCATGATTGACAGTAGCATGCTGAGAGAATGTACAGAAAACACCTGAAAACTTGTGGTTCCCCCCTAAAAACTACATGACGATTCTACGCAGTCAAAAGATGTGTCCGTCTGGTGTCTAGTTGAGCATGAGATTAACTTTCGAAGATGAGATATTGAGAAATATGTTCCGATCTTTAGAAATGAAATATGGGCTCCTGAACTTGGAATGCTGCAAGCCTTTTAAGAAAAGACACACACTCTTTTGTTTATATATGTTTCTCAAGCAAATTTAACAAATGTTTTTCTTTTTTAATTTAAGATTGTTTTTGTTGTAATAACAGCGAACAATTAGCAGGAAAATTAGGGGATACCCAAGAAAAATTAAGTACTAAAAAATTAATTTTAAATACTATTATTAAATTTTAAACAAGTAAGAATAATCGAAATTAAATATATTATATAATTTAAAATGCTAAATGTATTATTTTATTGACATTAAATTAGATATTTCATTACCTTTGTAGTTACAATAGAAGAAAAATATGGGAGTCACTCTTATTACGGAATTTACAAAAAATAAATAATAATAATAAATTAAATATAAATACATCAATTAAAATGTTAACATATAAATAAAATGTATTAATTAAAATACATTATATTGAAAACTCAATGTATAATCAAAATTAAATTTCATAAAACATTTGGTGCCTATGAAGCATCGTGAATAACATATTTTTGTATATTTCAAAGTTTAAAAAGTTTTTGAGCAAAAAGTTTAAAAAAATTTGATTTTAAAAGCATATTCTTACTTTTTAAACTATTTTTATTATTTTTTTTATTCATTTATTTATTTACTTGTTTATTTATTTATTTATATTATTTCTTTATTTTATTTTATTACATAATGTGATATGTTTCAGTTCAATAAAATTTATGAAAGTTTTAATTTAGGTTCAATGTACTAAATAGGCATTTTATTTATTTACTCATCAATTTATTTTATTTATTTCAGTATTTATTTATTTCAGTATTTGTTTATTTACTTATTAATTTATTTAATTTATTTTTATCTTATTTATATAATTTTATTTGTAATATTTTACTTACTTATTATTTTTATTAATTTACAAACTTTTCCTACATAATTATCTTATACTTTTCTATCCAATAAAATTAGTAAAAGTTTTAAACTTGAGTTCATTGAACTAAGTGGGCATTTAATTTATTTATTTACTTATACATTTATTTTACTTATTTTCTTAATGAATTTATTTATTTTCTTGTTTGTATATTTTCTTATTTATTTATTTTTATTTAGTTATTTATTTTATCTTACTTATTTTTCATTTTTCTTAATTTACAAATATTTCTTACATAAACTAATATTTTTCAATTCAATAAAATTTGTGAAAGTTTTAAATTTGAGTTTATTGAGCTAAATGGGCATTTTATTTATTTATGTAACTTATTTATTTATTTATAGTAGTAGTTACAGAATACTTTCAAAATGTAGTAACTCTTAACACACGATACAAAATTTATAACGCATTAGTAATCAGCAAATTAATCTTAACACGCTCTAAAATTTCCAACAGTCCAACAGGTATCAGATTTATTTTAAAATTCTCAGAAATTTCTAATAAGTAAAGATTATTTTTTTAGCAGTGTATTAGGCATTTTTGGCATCTTAACATGCTCTAAATTTTCTACGTTTTAACTCTCGCTGAGCAGCTGACCCAATTTAGGGTTTGTGGCTACTAATGTTCACCTCTGTAGCCTTGTAATTTTGAGCTCATTCCAGAAGACAAGGGAACTCCTGGATCAAGTATACGGAGAAACTTGCCTTCTTGGAGGATTTTTATGCGGAAACCAGTATTTGTGTTTCATGCTAACCTTCCACGATTAGCCTGACGGCAAGGGGACTCTAACCCATAATCCGTCTACCACTGAGGATATGTTACGTCATCACTGTAGTCTGTACGAGTCGGGTGCGGAATTTGATTCAAACAGCTACAGCTGGGATCGAACCCGGGTCACCTCATTGGGAGGCGTTGGCTCTATCCCCTAAGCCATTACAACTCTCCAAATTTTCTATTAATGTAAGTAGGCATCAGATCACTCTTAAAATATTCTAAAATTTCTAACAACGTAGTAAGCGTCAGATCCATCTTAACCCGATACGCAATTTATAATATAGAAGTAGGCATTAAATTAATTTAATTTAGTTAAATAATTAATTAATTTAGTTCAGTTAATTAATTAATTTAGTTCAGTTAATTAATTAATTAATTTAGTTCAGTTAATTAATTAATTAATTTAATTAATTAATTTAGTTCCAGTTTTATTTAAAGAGAAGGTCAGTTGAGGCTAACAGCATTTGACTTCAAATTCAGCCGAAAAATTAATTATCCAAATGTACATTTTTCATTATGCAATAATTATAAATGACATTAAATGGCATAAAGTCTTCATATATCACGTTTATTAGGTATTGTCATAACTCAAATAAAAATTCATGATAAACAATAATAACTTTGATAATATTGTTTATTTTAATTATAATAGCATTGAAAATTCAAATGAATGAATTAGACTCATTTACTTTACTGAAGTCTAAGATCAAACTGCATACAGATTTTATCAAAGACATAAGATCCATCTTAACTGGTTTGATTACAAGGTTAACATTTTAATGAACTGATGGTAAACAAAGTTATCCATCCTTAGGATCTTAATTCAAATTTGCTGCGAAAAATTGCTTTCAGAGACACGATTTTCAACAGGGTAACAAATGTCACTAATACATAAGATCGTAAGGTCACATTTATTCCAGGGAAAAATCGGTATATCGTGCTAATACGATTACAACTAGTCATATATATCTTAAAATCATTCATTTCATTATTATTATTATTATTATTATTATTATTACAATAGAACATCGATTATCCAAATCCCTTTTATTCGAATATAGTTGCGAATCAGCAGTTGATTCAAAGGTGTTATTTATTTATTTTGCAGAAGCACTTAGTTTTGTTGTACTCTTAATTTCAATAACATGGTGTCATACTTCACTACAAGCGGGTCCTTCAAAATAAAAAGTAATCTACGCATTATATGACTACGTAAAATCGATCATATCATCCGAGTATCAAGTAAACATTTCGTTAAATTTGATTTGGTTTTGATTCAATTTTTTTGCTTTTGTTCTGGATGGAATCTGTAAGGAGTAATTTTCTAAGTTCCATTCGTTTCTTCATTATTATTAGAATACTCACTATCTAACTTAAAAACTCCTCCCGTCAGAATTCTGAAGCACTGTTGGTGACAAGGTATGAGGTAAACATTAATGATCAGTTTTTACATCGATCAATTTTTTTTCTTCAAAACTTTCAGAAATGATCTAATTATTTTAACTTCGTGGAATATGTTATTTCGATAACAAAACTAAATATTATGGTGTAATATCTCTCCCCTTTGATGTAGAACAACCATGAAAATTTCATGAAAGAACATTTTTTTTCCCTTCAAGCTCAGCAAGACCACATTCCTTTACTTCATACGTTAAATATTTTTGCTTCCAAAAACACCAATGTTGGTGCGTTTTGATATCGACTTCGCTTACAATCCGTAATGAGTTGGTTGGAGAGTGTTTGTAGTTGTCTTGAATGATGCTTTTCATCTACAGTAACTAAAGATCGCCAAAATATGTATGTATGCTCTTAGTTGTGTACTACGGATATTTACATTTTAAATTTCAAGTTTCTGTAGACTGTGTTAAGTAGTTTTATAATGTATAATTTCTATCCACTTATAACCCAGTTTGAAGCTTTAGTTTCAGAACTTTTTCTATCCGCTTTAAGCCTAGTTTGAATTCTTTTCAATATTCTCTCTGTGCAAAGTATACATTTGGTTTACTGACTAAATTTATTTTATGACTTGGTTTATGTATGCAGCCTAAATTACTTATTCTCTCTATCTATTGTCTCGTAAAAATAACTTTACCGATCCTTATGTATATCACATTTTACCGTAATTAATAAATTTTAGAATAGCAAACATTGTGGTTGGTGGTGGCTTCTTTCACCAAATAGTGTAAAAGAACATTCTTCTGCACCAGGAATTGTCCTTGGATTTTGGTGTAGTAGAACAATTAGTGGATCACCACTTCAGTAAAATAGTTGTCATAATTTTTGGTGTTAAGATAACACGAAAATATTTTGCAGGGCACGATCCCTGCATAATCTAACGTGTTTTTTTTTTTTTTTTTTTTTTTTTTTTTTTTATGGTCATGAAAAATCAAACTACATCATTTAAGATTTTAACATAGTCATCTAAATTTATGCTGATTTCTAGTAAATTTTTTTCATGAACAAATGTTATTAAGCTTATCGATAGACGTATTATTTTTAAACAAATGCCGATAAAATATATTCATTGAAAATAAATGCTTTAACATTTGATATAACATTTGACTATTTTTAATAATATTACCATGTAGATTTTAATACAATTACATCCAATCATTATTATTTTTTTTGGGGGGGGGGTTTCTACGTATCCAAGAACCACCTGGTTTTGAAATTGAAGAACCTTTACACAGTATTTTTGAATAGGTACGCATTCGTAGAACTTAAAAAAAGCGTTCAAAAACATAATATGAAAAACTTGACATGGCATATTGAATCTTGAATTGAGTTTTACCTGATATTATTGAATACAATTCGGGTATAAAACTAATAAAATAATTTGCATGCTACAATACATATTTAAGCAGATAAACATCACAATTACTTTAGCACGAACAATTTTTA